CAGTGGAAGTCCTTCCTCTTGAGTTGGACTTGCCCGCCTGGTCCCCCAATATTTCCAAATTATTATTTCTTGTCTTGTCTCTTTCATTTGCTTGCGGACCTCTTCCAGATCCTGAACCCTGAACCACGCGGGATGTGGGGGGAAATATAAACAAACGAACAAATATAAAACCATACACAGTCGCCTAAGACCATCCTGCATATCAGATATTTACATGACGATTCATAACAGTAGCAACATTACAGTTATGAAGTAGCAACGAAAATAATTTTATGGTTGGGTCACAACATGAGGAACTGTATTTAAAGGGCCAGAAGGTTGAGAACCACTGCAGTGTAGTAGAATCCCAAAACATCAACTGTAAGTTAATTCATTCCTTTTTAAAATACATTTTAATTGATTTCAGAGAGGCAGGGAGAGGGAGAGAGAGATAGAAACATCAATGATGAGAGAGAATCATTGATCAGCTGCCTCCTACAACCCGAGCATGTGCCCTGACTGGGAATCGAACTGTGACCTCCTGGTTCATAGGTCGGTTGATGCTCAACCACTGAGCCATGCTGCCCGGGCCACTCTTATGCCTTCGTAATGGAAGGAGTCAGAAAAGATTATTGTCCTTGGTGTTCAGGTGGGAGACTGGAGGAATGGAATCATTTGGTCATTTCCCCCAGGTTGCTCTGTGAGTCTCTGTTGAAAACAGAATTTTAGTAACAACAGCAATTAGCACTTCTTAAATACCTGGCAGCCCTTGACATTGAGCCAACCTTCAGTCTCTGGGGATGGACTCCACTTCTTATGAGAAATAACTCTCTCTGTTTCTCTCTCTGCCTCTCTCACACACATAGGCACACACGGCTGCATAGAAACAGGAACCTTCCCTCTCCTTAGACTCCGCCTTTGCACACTAAGTGTATTTTGATAACACACCTCAGAGACACACTTATTGGAATGAAGACAATCTGGCGATGTGAATGAAAACATATTCAAAACACCAACTGTAAACGAATTTATTCTTTTTAAAATATGTTTTTATTGATTTCAGAGAGGAAGGGAAAGGGAGCGAGAGATAGAAGCATCTGTGAGAGAGACCCATTGATCGGCTGCCTCCTGCAACCTGCGCATACGCCCTGACGGGGAATCGAACTGTGACCCTCTCTATGGGAAGAAGACTGCCCCTGACCTGAATGTGGTGCATGTTGCTTGGAAGTAAAATAAAAACTGAGTCTTAGTAAGGTTAATACAGTGACTATGCAGTAATGAAGATAGACGGTAAGGTAAAAAGAATTAATATTTACAGAAAACCAAAAGTAATATGTAAAAAACATGAGACTCAAATGAATATCTGGACCAGGTATTGAGGGAATTAAGACTGAACATGTCTCCTCTAAGAAACTAAATTTAGGCAGTAATTAGTGCCAGCTAGCATTAACTGTTTTTCCAACTGCTTGGGATTTTAGTCAATTAAAAAAATTACTAGAGGCCCGGTGCACAAAATTCGTGCACTTGGGGTCGGGGGAGGGGGTCCCCTCAGCCCGGCCTGCACCCTCTCACAGTCCAGGAGCCCTTGGACACCCTTAGCACTGCTGCAGAGGCAGGAGAGGCTCCCGCCACCGCCACTGTGCTCGCCAGCCATGAGCCCAGCTTCTGGCTGAGTGACGCTCCCCCTGTGGGAGTGTACTGACCACCAGGGGGCAGCTCCTGCATTGAGCATCTGCCCCTTGGTGGTCAGTGTTCGTCATAGCAACCGGTTGTTCCGCCGTTCAGTCGATTTGCATATTAGCCTTTTATTATATAGGAATAACAGTTCTGCGTGTGGACATTGGAACTTCGCTGGTTTGAGCAGCCAAGGCTCAGGGCCAAGGTCGGAGTGTAGCCCAGTCTTTGAGATCCTCCTCAGAACTTCCCAAGAAAAAAAGGGGAAATATGTGTTGGATAGTGTTTAAGGAGCACCTCTCCTGGGGTTCTCACTCTTTAACTAAAAAAAAAATCCTTAAGCCAAAGGGCTGAGGCCCTCAGCAGGGGAGTTTAGGTATCATCTAGGAGGTGAAAAAAGACATTCAACTCTCAAAGGTGCATGGTGTGGACACACATTTAGTAACGAGGATGACCCTCCAGCCAGCACTAGTGAGAGATATAGAAATATCCCACAAAAGAAGAATAGGAAGTATGGTATGGACATACAGTCATATAAAAATGATGTAGGTAAGTATTTATTTACATGAAAAGTGAAAAAAATGTTAAGGGAAAAAGTAAATTGCACACATTATTTTCAATATGATCCTGTTTCTGATAAACATTATCTATCTATCTATCTATCTATCTATCTATCTATCTATATCTATATATATATGTATATAGATATAGATAGATAGATAGATAGATAGATATATACATGTACCAAAATATTGACTATCTCCAAATTATAGGATTGATTTTTCTAGTTTGCTGCCATTTCTAATTTTTAACAATGAGCTTGTATTGTTTTAACCATCTTTATTCTTTTTTTTCAAAGATAGAACACTGCATAATGCCTCTGAATAAAAATAACACTTGTGTTTAAAATAAGCACAAAGGGCCATAGTCCCTTCCACCTCCTACAGTAAGGAGAGATTCATGAGCAACTTAGGAATTCATCAATCATTCATGTCTCCCATGCTGCAGGTGTCGAGTATAGGAATCCAGGCTAAATAAAGCTGTGCTGCATCCCGGTTCCTCCACAGAGAAGACAGGAAATTTCCACGGTGCCTGGCTACCAGGCAGAGTATCCAATTGCATTTAGCTACTGTCATCTCACCCTGGACACGTGTAGGATGGCAAGGGACTCTCTCAGGTAGGACAGTCCTTGTTGCATCTCTCAGGTCACCTCATTGGGTTCCTGCTGCTGCTGGCCACTGGGGTGACCTCTGACCTTTTAAAATTAGTTACTGCCCTGGCCGGTGCGGCTCAGCGGGTTGGGCATTGATTGTCCTGTGCACCAAAAGGTTGCTGGTTTGAATTGTGGTCAGAGCACATGCCTGGGTTGCTGGCTCAATTCCCAGCAGGGGGCGCACAGGAGGCAGCCAATCAATGTTTCACTCTCACATCCATGTTTCTCTCTCTCCCTCTCCCTTCCTCCCTCTAAAAATCTATTAAAAATATTAAAAAAATAAAATAAAATTAGTTCCTGACACAGATTCCTAAAAGCATCGTCTGGGAAGTAAAAGTAATTTCTGGGAAACAGAGCCACCTCAGCCTGAAGACCCAGCTTAGAGGTTGCGTGCCAGCAGACACCAGTTTACGTAACAGTTCGTCTTTGTTCCTCTAGCCGTGTGCGACCTTTCCACTGCTTCCTGCTGACACCGTTCCCAACAGAAACATGCAATCTGTGCAGCCTAAAGAGCCGCCCGCCCTCCCGAACCTTCTCGGAGAATAATAACAGCAGCTGCATGACTTTTGCTTAATGTAAATACTTTATTGACTTTTGTATTTAATTTATGCATCTGTCCAGTGTTTGCACAGCTGTTTGATGTCTGTGTGAACCCATAGGTTAGCCTTTGTTGATTTGATCTATCTTAAACTCTAAGCATTGAGAGATGAGGGGGCTCCCAGTTCACTTTCCTTTACCCAGCTTCCGACATGGTAGTATATAGATGAGAACTTGAGAGTTAGCCATCTCCTTTAAGATCACTTTGCTCCTGGTGGCCGGTTTGCTCAGTGGTTAGAGTGTCGGCCTGAGAACTGAAGGGTCCTGGGTTCGATTCCTGGTGAAGGGCACGTACTTCGGTGGAAGGTTCCCCAGCCCCGATAGGGGCGCATGTGGGAGGCAACCAATTGATGTGTCTCTCTCACATCAATGTTCCTCTCTTTCTCTCTCTATCCCCCTCCCACCTCCCTCCTTCCCACTCTCTCTAGAAATCAATGAAAAAATATCCTTGGGTGAGGAATTTAAAAAAAAAAGATATTTTTCTCCCTTGGTGAAGAAAAGGGCCCGATTTTCTGATCTGTTTAGGGAAAAATGTGATGGTTGACTTTGTTTCCCTCTTATAAGGACACCATTATAGAATCAAGGTGATGTTGAGGAGGTTTTGTCTCTCCCAGAAAACTGCACCAGAGGATTTGGCGAGGTGCAGG